AGAGAGGAGGAGAGGAGAGGAGAGAGGAGAGAGAGGGAGAGGAGAGAGGAGAGAGAGAGAGAGAGAGGGAGAAGGAGAGGGAGAGGGAGAGGGAGAGGAGAGGGGAGGGAGAGGAGGGAGAGGGAGAGGGAGAGGGAGAGGGAGAGGGAGAGAGAGAGAGAGAGAGAGAGGGAGAGGGAGACTGTCGTCGCCTGCCGCACTCGGCGTGGTCGTGACTGCTGCCAGGAACAATGACTTATTCGCGCACCGCTGCGTTTGCCGTATTGGCGCGATATGCTTGCCGTTGAATTACCGTTTGTAAGGGATTAGTGGAGGCATGATGCGGAACGATTCGTACGCCAGTTCTTCTAACTTGGCGTTTCCGTCTGAACGCCGACGCTAGCGGGAATTCAACGGACGCGAACGAGCGCGGCTGGACTTGCATTCCACTTGTCGCCGCCTGATTTCTCCCCCGGGTGTGGCGCGGTTATCACGCATGACCTGGAGACGTGTTGTTCGAACGCCGCCCTAACATCTTCGCCAGATGGAGCTGCGGGAGCACGAGCACGTGGTGGAGTGTATCGCCTGGGCGCCGCCGGCGGCGTCCGCGGCCATCAACGAGGGCGCAAGCGGCAACAACAAGCAGGCGGGCCACCCGGGACCGTTCCTGGCCTCTGGCTCACGCGACAAGACCATCAAGGTGAGCGGCGCGGCGCTGGCGCTCAGCCCGCTGCTGCCCCGGAGCTGGAGCTGGGCTGGACGCCGGTGACGTCAGGGTGCGACACGGCACGGCACGGCACCGGCATGGCACGACACGACACGACACGGCGCGACATGGCGCGACATAATACGACATGACACGACACGACACACGGCACGACACGATAACGACAACGACAACGACACGACACGACACGACGCGTTACAGCACACGGCACGGCAGCTGCGGAGGCGGCGCCGGTCGATGATATGCTTTCCACCGGTGGATAATGGCAGAGCGCGCGGTGCGTGTTGTGTGGCGCTGGCCCGGTATGAGCGTCATGGTGCCTGGGACTGGTTTGTCGTGGAGCGGAATGGTGAGCGACGCAGCCGGCGGCGTGACGCGCCGGGGCTCGGGGTCTGGTGCAGTGTGGTGATGTTTTACCGGTCCCACACACCGGCTTTAGGGGCTGCCACGCGAATGTCGTATTCGGTAACTCCATGCGTCTGTAACTAACGACGGCTGCTTCTTACGACGAGTTCCGCCATTGACCATTCGGCCATGAGGCCAAGCACTACACCGTACTGCCGTGCATCACGCCCATCTGAGAGCTCGCCGTCCCTGGTCAGGTCTGAGTTGCAGTACCGGCCCTGACCGTCTCAGGCTGCTGGTTGTTCGTCAGCCGACGTTGACCGACGGTCTCTCAGATCTGGTGTGCCGTCTGCAGCCAGCGTCTGCTGTCCCTGCCCGGGACCGTGACCCTGTGTTTTCGTTGACCCTGTCTTCTGCCCCTCCTTCAGGTCTGGGACGCCATCTCGGGCCAGTGCCTGCTCACCGTGACCCTGACCCTGGCCCTCCCTGGTGACCCTGTCTTCTGCCCCTCTTTCTGATCTGGGACGCCATCTCGGACCAGTGCATGCTGGCCCTGACCGTGACCCTGACCCTGACCCTGGCCCTCCCGTGTGACCCTGTCTTCCGCCCCTGTTTCAGATCTGGGACGCCGTCTCGGGCCAGTGCCTGCTGGCCCGTACCGTGGCCCTCCCCTCTGACCGTCTTCTGCCCCTGTTTTAGATGTTGAGCGCCGTCTCCGGCCAGCGTTTGCTAACCCTGACCGTGACCCTCCCTCCGATCTTCCCCCTGACCCTGGTTTCTGCCCCTGTTTCATGTCTGGAACGCCGTCTTGGGTCAGTGCTTGCTGACCCTGACGGTGACCGCCACCCTCCCCCTGACCGTCCCCTCTGACCCTGCCTTCTAACCCTGCTTCAGATCTGGGACGCCGTCTCGGGCCAGTGCCTGCTGACCCTGGTCGGCCACGACAACTGGGTGCGCGGCCTGTCGTTCCACCCGGGCGGCCTGTACCTGCTCTCGGCCTCCGACGACAAGACGGTGCGCACCTGGAACATCAAGGCCAAGCGCTGTCATCGGACGCTCGAGGCGCACCAGCACTTCTGCACGTCACTAGGTCGGTCCAGGAGGCCCTAGGGGGCCTTGGGAGGCCCTAGGAGGCCCTAGGAGACCTTAGGCCCGCAGCCGACCGAGAAATGAGCGGCTGTGGCCGAATGATGGGACACAACTTGTGCTGGCGTGGACTCTGAGCACGTAGCGAGCTGGAGTTTTCGGGTGTGTTTTTAAATGGGTCGCTCGAGTGAGAACATCTGGGCCTACCGGGACAGGTCGTGTGTCATCTCTCACTTATTACGGGCTGGTTCGCCGCTATTTAGATGCGTAAATGTGTTCGGGATTTACTGCCACTTGCTCTTGGATGTGATAAGATTGCGACATTTATGAATGAATTAGTTAACTAGCCCTCATCGGCAGCATGATAAAGTCAGCGTGAGCCTGCCTTGCTATCAAAATTTGATGATATAGCACCCAATTTGATTGTCTCAAACACCAATGTCTTGCCTTTCTAAGGGGTGTCCTGCGTCACCAATCCATCACCGGGCTTCCGTTCACCTCGCTTTCATAGCGACGTGGCGCCTGTCTGCAGCGACGTCTCGGGCGCGGCTGGTGCTCTACTGAGACGCCTCCTCCGTTGCAGACATGCACAAGACGGCGCCGTTCGTGGTGACCGGCAGCGTGGACCAGACGGTGAAGGTGTGGGAGTGCCGCTAGCCGGCCCGGCCGCGCCGCCGCCCCGAGCTCTCTACATTCCAACCTAGTCAGGACTCGGCCGTCGCCACAGGTCTCCCGCCCGGCGCGTGACGACCGGGCCCGTGTCGCGTGACTTTGACCGGCGCCCGGCGACGTGACCTTCAGCCGCGCCGGGCAGCTGTCGCCCGGGTCACGCGGCGTCGACCGTTGACCCGCGCCGGGTGACGGTGACCTGGGCCGGGTCACGTGACGTCGACCCGCGCCGGGAGACGGCTCGGTCACGTGGCGTCGACCGTTGACCCGCGCCGGCTGACGGTGACCTGGGCCGGGTCACGTGACGTCGACCCGCGCTGGGAGACGGCTCGGTCACGTGGCGTCGACCGTTTGACCGCGCCGGCTGACGGTGACCTGGGCCGGGTCACGTGACGTCGACCCGCGCCGGGTGGCGGCGAGCTGGGCTCGGTCACGTGACGTGCGACCGTTGACCCGCGCCGGGTGACGCTGACCTGGGCCGGGTCACGTGACGTCGACCCGCGCCGGGTGACGGCGAGCTGGGCTCGGTCACGTGACGTGCGACCGGTGACCCGCGCTGGGTGACGCTGACCTGGGCCGGGTCACGTGACGTCGACCCGCGCCGGGTGACGGCGAGCTGGGCTCGGTCACGTGACGTCCGACCGTTGACCCGCGCCGGGTGACGCTGACCTGGGCCGGGTCACGTGACGTCGACCCGCGCCGGGTGACGGCGGGCTGGGCTCGGTCACGTGGCGTGCGACCGGTGGCGGCCGGCGGCGGCCCGGCCGAGACCTGGCGCGGCGGCTAGACGGGGCGGCGCGCGCGCAGGCTGCCACCGTGTGATAGACGCGTGCGGGATGGGCGACGTCAGCCTAGGTATTTAATTCTAGTGTCCTGTGTGCTAGCCGTTGTGTTAACTTATCGTGTGGTGGCCGGCGCGCGCGGCGGTGCGGTGTGGGGGCGCGCGTGTCGCCGTCGGCCCGAGCTTTGCCCGCTCTCGGTCTCCGCCGCGCTGGCGGCGCGCGGCGCGCGCGCTCTGCAGCTGGGCACGCGACTCGGTGCGCGGACAGCGTCCCTTGGGTAGGCTAGGCTAGGCAGACCTGTGATTGTTTCCCCCGGCCGCGTCTGGCGGCCAGGGGCAAGCCCGTCCGATTCGGTCCGGCCCTGCGGCAGGGCGCGGCCCGGGCGCCGCTCGCGGCGTCTGCCGGGGTGCAGCCGCCGCCGCCGTCGGCGCCGGCTCCTCCGCGGGTGTGCGGTCGCGAGCGGCGGGCGGCGCGCCCGGCTCGGCGCTCGGGCGGCGGCCCGCGACCGCGGCCCGAGCCGCCTGCTACGACAGCTCGCCTACTGCGCGAGCGCTCCACGTCACTAGCTGGCGCGCTGACGCCCGTCCGCCCTGGTCCGCCCCCCCCCCCCCCCCATCCCCCGGTCTCCACCCCTCCCCTTCCGCACGCCGGCCGCCGGGGAGCGGTGATCGTAGCTTCCTCTGTTGCGTAGCCGCGGCCGCCTCGCCGCCTCCAGTGTATGCAATCTTGATATTCCTCCGTGTACATAACATGCTTGCTAACCTGTCCCGGCTGAAGCGGACTGATAGAGAACGAGAGTGCGAGAGACTGCGAGTGACTGGGCGTGGGGGCCATGCTGGAGCGGGGCGCCCCTGCCGCCCTGCTGGCTGGTGAAGGGCACGGCGCCACTGTACGCGGTGCGCGCCGCCGATTTGTGGCTTTTTGGCAGCGCGTTTTTGTTTGTTACGTATCCTCACGTGTTCAGTACATGCTGGTTCGTGGTCTATTATTTTACCGGCAACGAACTGTGGAGCCGCGGGCCTGTGGACCGCCGACGGGGTGTGACGTGTGGCGTTGGTTTGCAATGAGCAGATGCTGCCAGGCGTAATACAAGCTCAGTAACGAACTGGCGTCGGCCGTCGACGGGAAGGCAGCGTAGCGCAGGGCTGGCGGTGCGCATCAACCGAACGGCAGGATGAGAAAATGTGCGCAGCGCTAGGCACAAGGTAGACGGCTGAATCCACCATCGCTAGTCTGGCTGCATGCCCAGTTCATGTTCGAGCCCTTTAAGTGCTCTTCCAAGTGGTGCTCAGAATTCGGCGGAAGGCGTTCGTGCGCGACTGTGGCGAACGGTCTGAAGCGGCGGGTTGGCGTGTATTCGGGTCGAATTTAAACGATTTCCGTGGGTGTTCTCGGTATTGGAAACAATCTTTTCACGTGTTCGCGCCCATGCGCCGGAATGACAGTGGCGCAGCAACAGCCTTCAGTGGCAAAACAAGTGGGAATTAGGTGGGGGGGGGGGGGGGGTCAAGTTACCCGGGAAAATAGATGTTGCGAAGGTCTATCGCTTTGTAAGCGGTTGTCGCGCGGAATCGGTGGTGATATACACAAGTCTGGGTTTACCTAGCCTGGCCACGGAGCCTACCTTACCTAGCCACGGAGCAGCGAACGACAGCCGCTCAAGGTCCGGACAGCAACATCGGCAGTGGAACCGTCTGCGCGGGGGATACACCGTTCAAGAGGCAGTCTTTTGAAACTAAGTGTCTGCTGTCGTCGGGGGTCGCGGTCCTCTTGCCAACTTGGAGCTGCCAGTGACCATATAGACCTCAATTCCATTTCAGCGGTCTTCCGAAAATAACGTTACGCAATTTTGCCAGTTTATGCCACTTTTCGACCCTCCCCCTGGTTACGCACTGGTTACACCGGGCGACCCCCTCGCCCTAGTTACGCTGTGCAGCGCAACGTCCCAGAAAAGTAGCATTTGCTTGGCCCTACGTCCTTGTTATGCTCCCGTTACGCCAGTGCCCCCCCCCCCCCCCCCTCCTCCCTTCCCTCCTTCATGCGCAACGTAATTTGTGGACGAGCCCTCGGTCATTTCCCAGACAGGGAGGGGAACCCAAAGTACTGGCAGTCTAGCCCACTGCATCACACGGCACGTTAAGAAATGCCCGGTACTGGTTGGGTTACTGACTGCGGAGAATTGTTTTCCTGCCTTCCAACCATCAAATGGGAAAATAGTGCGAACGGCAGGCGGGATCGATGCTTAGCGAGGGCTGTGATTCCAACACTTCGCCAGCAGGCAATTTAGGAACTTGATAACAACTGCACGCAGCTGCAAAACGCTGAACAAAATATTGAGCAACAAATCCGCCTTCGCGTGTGTCGTTTACCGAACAATGTAAGGTCATGCATCAGTTGCATCAATCTGCCAGAAACATACCAAACCACGGCCCCGTTATGTTGTATTCCATGATGTCAACGATGCGAGCTCTTTTTCTTCTTTTTCGTTGCCACTTCCCTGAGCTTGTTCAGCAGCTCACCATCCAGATCACTCGAGTCCGAATCATCACTCGCACGCTTCTTACTTTTCTTCCGTTTCTTCTCGCTCTTCTTGTGCTTCTTCTTCTTTTTGTGCCGGCCGGGTGACTTCTCCTTCCACTCGCCTCCATCACTATCGCGGTGCCTCTCCGGCACCAGCGGGCGGGACGCGGCACCACCGCCCGGCGGACGCGGCGGGAGCTTGGGACCGTATTCGTCGTCAGATGGCTCTGCCGGCGGCGGTGCGACGACGACCGGCGGCTGCGGGGCGTCAGCCAGCCGCGCCGGCAGCTCGCTGCTCCGCCGCCAGCTGTTCAGCTCGTCCAGGTTGACGTTGTCGAACAGGCTGAAACCAGCCTTCTTGACGGCGGCCGGCGGCGCCTGATCGAAGAACGCCGACGCCGTGGGGCGGGTGAGCGCCGCGGCTCCGTCCGGTGGCCGTGGTGGTGCCGCCCCGGCCGGCACCGGAGCAGCCGGCGTCGCCGCCGATGACGCCGGCTGTGACGTCACAGGCGCCGCCGCTCGTGTTGCCGACGGCAGCGCCGGCGTGGAAGACGGCGTGGATTGTGACGTCACCGCCGGAGTTTGTGACGTCGCCGCCGGAGTTTGTGACGTCACGGCGGTCGGCTCGGCCTCCGAGTCGCTGCTCGAGTCGTCGAAGATGGCCTTGAAGAGGTCCGCCGGCGGCTTCTGGGCCGGCACCGGCGCCGGCACCGTCGCCGGCACCTGCGACGGGGCTTCGGCAGGCCCAGGAGCGGCCGCCCGCTGAGAGGTGTCCTGTGGAGAGCAAACGCAAGCTAGTTAGCTACTGAAAAACGTGGCGTGCAGATCTTTTTTATCATATAACGACCGCCGCTCCGCAGCTGTGGTGATCCAATATCACCACTGACGATCAATAGTCGCTGCCAGGTGTCACAAAGACACACGCGTACAGCTGTGGCGTTCGTACGTCACCACCGACACCGAGCAATCCCGTTAGCAGATTGTGGCCGCAGTTTCTGCACCGAAACGCGGCCCTCACCGACTATTAAACAGAATTGCGACCTGCATGCTGGACCGATCCCGTTCAAGCCTGCGTATTACACGGACGCGGACCTGCTACGCTTACCTGGCAGCAGCGTTCTGCTGGCGGAACAACGCCAGCTGCCGATGGCAGGCGGAAAGCCACGAGACAGATTTGGCAGCTACGGGACACTCGTGTTTTGTATTCGGATGCCGGCCAGCTGCCTGGCCCCACCGTCCACTGACAGCTCACCTGACCCGCCTGCGCCGCCTCGTCGGCCAGCAGCAGGTCCCACATTAACCGGCCGCTCTTGGGGTGCCCTCCCGGCTCCGACTGGGCGGCGGACGCAGATGGCGCTGCCGTCGGCTCGGCGGCAGGCGGCGCCTCCAGGGCGGACGTGTCCAGCGCCTCGAACTGCGAGCGCGCAGGGCCGCTTCCGGAGCCCAGCGTGCCCACCAGGCTCGAGCTGCGGGGAGGGCCCAGGTCAGGGCCACAGATAGGGGCCACGTGTGCCCGGCTTGAGTTGGGTCACACCGATTCCCCCAACGGGTATGATAATTTCGGGAAACAGTGGGAAGTAACCGTCGCGATTTGTGGTGTCTTCATTAAGTATCCACACTCTATGCCCGGGATATTACTGAAATCAGGCATCAATTACACAAGGTTCCATTCGGTAACATAACGGATGCGCACGCTGGCCGTAATGATATCAACACCACTGTAAAGCACTAGTCCTTCCCCAACCCCAGAGGCCGCCCCCAACTCGTCTGCAGCCCACACGCGTCACAAGGACGGCGCACTCACTGCGGGTAGGGGTTCTTGACGTTGAAGCGGCGGCAGAGGAGCGGCGCCGGGTGCCACTCCTGGCGCCGCCTGGTGAGCGGACCGAACATGCGGCGCCGCGCCGCCTCGGCCGCCGGGTCGTCGGCGGGCCGGGCGGCCGGCGTCGGCCGCTCCTGCTCGGCGGTGCCCGCTGAGACGAACCGGTCGGCCAGCGAGGCGGCCAGCGGCCGGAACAGCTGGGCCGCCCGGCCGAACTCGCTGACCTCGCGCCCCCGCTCCCAGTCGGTCATCGAGGCCGGCAGCAGCAGGCGGTAGTCCTCTGATAGACAGGTCAGGTCAGACCAGTTTAGGTCAGATCAGGTCAGATCAGTTCACACTCCGGCTCCCAGTCTGTTAGATGGGCCACCAGTGCCGTCAGGAGGCAATAGTTCTCTGGTGACCATGACTCCCCACGACATGGGCCCGGCAGTTCCACACAAATGATAGCGAGGCGGATCAATCTGGAGTGCTAAGACCAACGCCAATGCTACAGGGGCCACTGAAAACTAATCAGTGCAGGCACTGCCAATCACCGGCTTATCAAGCTGGACATGGCAAGAACATACACATCTGATGTAAACCTTATGTCAAGAGTACAAAACATCTGCACGACCCGATGCCGTTGGCGGTGGACCCACCTTTCCTGTTGGCGGCCGACAGCTTGAGGAACTTCTCGTAGCGCGCCTGTTTATCCGGATCGCGAGCGAACGGCTTCAGTGTGGGACCGGCCGGCGCTGGCGCCTCTGCCAGCAGCCGGTGTACCTCCTGCAGCCGCGCGCTGTCCGCCGCTGGCGGCGGGTTCCCCGCGCCGCCGCCAGAGGCGCTGGCCGCCGGCCGCGCCGGCGCCGCAGCGGCCGGCGCGCTGACCGGGGGTTGAGGGTGAACGGCGCTGGCCGCAACGCCGGACGCCAGCGTCAACTTCGCCTCGTCAGCGTCGGCGCCGGGTGTCGCCGCCACCTTCTCCGCGGCTCCGCCAGGGGCGCTAACCGCCGTCGCCGCCGCCGCGGCGTCCTCCTCGCCGATCAGCCGTGCGCGCTGGCCGGCCGACAGCCGGTGGCGCTCGAGGCCGCGCCGCTCCTCCGGCAGCGGCTCGAAGCGCGAGCCGCGCGCCCGGTGCTCGGGCCGGAAGTCGGCCGGCAGCGGCGGCGGCGGGTAGCGGGGGGCGCGCCGCCGGCCGGCTCGACGCCAGCTGAAAGCCGGCCAGCGCGCGCGACAGCAGGTCGGCGGCCGAGGGAGCCGGCCGCCCTCCGCGCGCACCGCGCTCCGGGCCCGACTCGGAGAAGTCGTAGTTGGACATGTCCTCGGTGGTGTAGATGTCCTCGTCCTCCTCCTCGAAGGCGCCCACGCCGAACGCCTGCTCGGCGGGGGGAAAGGAGGGTGAGGCCAGGACGTTTCTCTACCGCCTCTCTCTCTCTTCCACAAGACAAGCAACAGGTGCGCTATGACCACAAGCAAGACCCACCAAGGCAAATGAGAAATCGCATGCTTTCGATCAGCATTAGCACAGCTGACTGCAATGCTACGTCACTAGCGCAGAAGCCCAACCTCCCACTCCCTCCCCAGAGAGCCTCTACATCCACGGCCGACGGGTGCTGGGTTATCCAGTGTTGTGCTATCCACCAACCAGTGCCAGGCTATCCACCGTCCAACAGTCCCCATCACCACACTGGTCGGCCGTTGGCAGGCGCCCTGCCGGCCCGCGCTCGCCCGGCGGCGCGGCCCACCTGTCCGCGGACGGCCAGCTTGCCCTTGGCGTCCCTGTAGCGGAGGGTCGGGTCGCCGGAGGGCGGCCCCAGCACGGCGCGCCGCTCCAGGCCGCGGTAGCCCAGCCCGAACAGGTCGTCCTTGGGCCGCACCAGCGGCGCCTCCGAGTCGTCCGGCGCCAGCAGCACCTCCCGCAGCGCAGCGTCCGAGTCCGAATCGGAGTCGGAGTCGGCGGCCACGGCGGAGTCGGCGCCGGGAGGGCGCGCGCAGCCGTACACCTGGAAGATCGGCGGACGGCGTCGGGGTGGGTGGTCGGCTGCTGGGTGGAGCGCGCGCTTACTTGTCACGAGCGCAGGTTGGTGTTGCTGTGTTAGTTCACCCACGATAAACCAGGGCTTTCTGGGACTAGTGTGCCACCATTCAAATCCTCGCATAAGACATTATGCTACATGCTTCACAGGTAATGGAACATATTGAGCCCAGCCTACACACAAAATGTCTGAGATGCCAACGTGCATCGATCGATCAGCAGGGGCGATAAAGCTGAGTCAGATCACAGCGTGCACTGACACCGGCACCAGGAGCCAGCTCCTGACTGGGTCGGCACACACCTTCTGCTGCTGTTTCTTCTCTGCGCGGGTGACGCGGGGCCCGATGCCCTGGCCGGGCCGCCAGCCCATCGACTTCAGAATCCGCACCCCCACCGTATCCCTGGGGGGGGGGGGGGAAGAGGGGGACGGGTGGGTTTACCAGGACGCCGCAGACGGAGGGAGCACGCGAGTGCACGCTCACATAGGTGTCTCCCAAGTCATGGAGTGGAGCGAAACTAACCGTGCTAAGATCGAGATCGTGGCACAAAGTCGTTACCCAGCAATTTACTTCTTCATCTATCGATGCATGAAGTGAATTTGGTCATGGAGCATTACTGGCCCTGCACGATACAGTTGCTCATCAAGGCACCTACAGTCGCTGACTTTAGGACGCCAAGCTCTCAACTCAAACTCTCAACTCAAACTCTCACCGGACGGCTTGATCAGCTGCTCGAGCACGGGCTGCCCGGGAATGGGGCCCTCGTCGAACTGTGGATGTCTTCGCTTCGTGCCACCTGTCGGCGCCTCCTGGAAGTCCTGACTTGGCTTGCACGCGCTGGGGCGCTATCCCGTGCTCACCCCGGTCCTGTCCAGAAAACATCAAAATTGATGAAGCATGAGACCAGTGAGCAGTGTCAATGACGCTGAACCAAACCTCCGTTTGTGCTTCCTCAGCAAAGACCTCAAATCTTCAGCAAACTTCATATAAATGCTGAGATACAGTTGTGAGCAAACCCAGCCAGCCCACGTTTAGCCAGCGTTATTGAAGTCTCTATCCACCTATAACCAATTACCATGCAGGATCACTAGCTTTGCCATCTTTTTGCGCACGAGACAACCACCACAAATTTCGCGTAATGCAAGCAAACACCATCCCCGAGCTCGTTGACTGCAGTTACCCACGCACACGACCCATCCCCCTCCGTTGAGCCTCCGGGAGCGGCGACGCGCAGCTACCCGCCACGCTCACCTCGTCATCCATGAAGTCCTCGGGTCTTGCGGACCGGCCCTCGGCGCGGCTCGAGCGCGACGACACGAACGTCGCCGGTTGGAAGCCGTCCCGCGAGCCCACCGTGTTGAAGAAGCCGGCCGAGAAGCCACCCGTGAAGGCGCCATGGAAGCGCTGGCGGCCGCGCGCGTCGCGCGCCGTCTGATCCTCCAGTGCCGGTGGTCGCCGCTTGGCGGCGCTGCCTGCGCGCCAGCCCAGGTCGGCAGGTAAGGGTGCGGTTGTGGTGGGTTAGTGGCATGGGACTAGAGGTTCATCAAGAGTCTATCATGTGATACTTGGGCTTGTGGGGAAACAAGTTGTTAGTATTCAGCTGTTGGGCTATTAGACAATTCAGTCTGCAAGGCCATATAATGTCTAACCATGTCCTGTCAACCACCTTTAAAAAGGAAAGGAAATGATGTTACCTGTGTTGGTAGCTTTGGCTCATTATCTATATATATATATATATATATATATATATATATATATATATATATATATTACCTCTGGCTTTGGACAGGAAAAATTAGTTGGGTTGCCAACAGGGGCATCACTTTATATACTTTTGGAGAGGCTGAGCCCCTCCAAATGCTGACTTGAGCCCCTCCTAATGCTCATGAGAGCCAGAAAAATTATATTGTGTGTAACAATTAAGAAATGTGACAATACCACACAGATGCAGAGCATCTTACCTTCTTCTAGGGGCTCCAGAGGAGTCCCAAAGTGCACATTGTCATCATCACTGTCAGAATCCATGTTGTTTGTCAATATCTTGCTATGTGGTGAGAACAGGGCTGGAATTGGCACATTATGTCAGCAAAAGACCCATGCTGTATGTTTCAAGCATGGAATACAGGCAAAAGAAATACAATGAACATGATGTCTACAAGTTCTGTACATGCAAAGGCAACAACACCAACACAGCACATTAACACAACTCCACACCTTATAACAAATGCTAGGAATAGAAAAGCTTTATGTATTTATTGGCTTAGGGATCCCATGCATTTAGAAAATATGCCAGATCTGCAATACAGCTATACAAATTACACAACAATGTTCATACAACCTGTGCATTTGACTGGCAGAGATGCAACATAATTTACCCATGGTAGAATCAAAGAGTACTACATGCATGCTGTTCAGGCTTCAAATTTGCATGCCAGGTGTCTGCTGTCATTTTATTTTCAAACGGAATGGTGGTTTTCTTACACCTTATTCACTCCATAAGACACAAGCAAGCAACAGAGACTGCAGAGGCCAATTTAGTGCTCAGCTGTCATTGTGTGACCAGGGTCTCAATGCGGGCCAAGCATGGGAGCTGAAGGTGCTGATCACTTGACCATTATACCCTATAATTCCAGGTACAAGTTGGGATAACATCATATGCCATGCAAGGCAATGTGTCTTCACACCAGCAAAAGTTGAAATTACACCAAACTCTTGAGGCAGACAGATGTGTTGTCAGTGTGTGGCCAGAAGTTGTGAGCCATCACTACAACTTGTTATGCATTTTGGAGCTTAATCACACAAATGTATTGTCAGTGTGTGGCCAGAAATTGTGAACCATCACTACAACTTATCATGCATTTTGGAGCTCTATCATACAAATATATTGTCAGTGTGTGGCTGGAAGTTGTGAGCCATCACTACATCTTGTTACAGATTTTGGAGCTTGATCACACAAATATATTGTCAGTGTGTGGCCAGAAATTGTAAACCATCACTACAACTTATCACACATTTTGGAGCTCAATCATACAAATGTTTTGTCAGTGTGTGGCTCAAAGTTGTGAGCCATCCCTACTTACCATGCATTCTAGAGTTTATTCAGAAGTTCCTGTCATCCAGACACCTTAAAATCCTCAACACTGCATACTATGGTAAAAATACTGAAACTGAAGGCGTCTTAACGCCAAAATTCACTGTGGGCAAATGCCTGTGGTGTATGTAATACGAAACGCCTGCCCATTTTTGCTCTCTGAAGTCATGTCTTGTGAAGGAAGGGTCGTACGGCTGTGAATTACCAACACGTCACAAAACATTTCGATATTGTGATTGATGATACGGTGACTAGATACTACCTCGTTAGATGCCACAAGACACAAAATACGTACATGTGCAAAAAAAACGTTTTTCAGATAATAGCACGCTGAATCTGCTGCGCCCACGAGAAGATTGCCCGCAGCTCGCAGACGCATCGGTTATTTTGAAAGTTTATGCGCCAAGAAAGTCAAAGTTTCATGACCATGTATAGAGGTGGGCTACCGGATTGTCTTCATCCCAACGGGCATCGATAAGCATGCCCAGGTTGCCCTAATGACCCCGGTGACCTATACCCACTTGCGAGACATGTGCACGTCATCCGGCTAGATGCTTGCCCGCGAATGATGAATCAATCCTGCCAGTGCGCTTGTGGCGAAAACTCGTCGCCAGGCCGTGTTCCACGGGCTACAGAACAAAGGCGCTACGTTGACAAAAGTACAAATGAGAAGACATCACCAGAGCGTCGCGTAGAAAAATGTTTGATCAAATTGCCGGAACGAGCAGCTACCCCACCGTAACTGTCATGGTTCTCTTTTGCCATACAGCTTTCCCTTCATGATGCCTTCGACTGCGCTCAGTTTCAACGCGCTTATCTTCGGAACTGATCGTGACATCTCGCAACTGGCCCGCACCAGTCTCCAGCGTCATGTGCCGCATGAGCAATTACCGCTGTCCACCTGACGCGCGGCTCACGAGCCACTGTTTCACCCATCGTGCGGTCATCAGCCGTTGTTCGCCCATTGTGCGGTCATCAGCCGTTGTTCGCCCATTTGCGGTCATCAGCCGCCTGTTCGCCATCGTGCTGTTCATCAGGCGTTGTTCGACCATCGTGCGGTCATCAGGAGTTGTTCGCCCCATCGTGCGGTCATCAGCCGCTGTTCGCCCATCGCGCGGTCATCAGGCGTTGTTCACCCCGCGTTCGGTGATGAATCGTTGTTCAACCACGCCCAAAGTATGTGACAGCCAGTCTGGAGTAATGAGTGCTGGAGGACAGCTTCCAGAACCGAAGACCAACGGGTTTCAGACTTGAACTCAACACGTCAAGAATTAGAAGGTTGTGTGTGAACAACGGACGTGTTATATTTCGATTTCCGTCACAGCTACATCATAAATATTTCATGTTTAAGCCTTGCAACAAGTTATTACAAAGTTAAAAGCACATTCATCATCAAGTTACTTATCATGACCTGGCCACTCACTCTGGGTTCTCGGCACCCCATTTCACACGAGACACGACTGGTCAACGTCACCGCCACTGTCTGCTAAATCCTTTACTTCTTGCTGCGCACAATTCGGTACGGCTGTAGTGACAGCGAACGGCGGCACTCATCACTTTTATGAATTTCAGCTACAACACCACGAAACCTGCATGACGACAATAACCGACATGCACTGTTACCGGCATTTCGGATCCTTCAGCAGGAAACCGCGCCAGCTCATCACGAAACGAAATGGTAAAAAAAAAGAATGTAAAATACGAAGCGGCCGTCAGTCTGAGGCCGCACTCTCCTAGACCTGATGCGAATGTGAAGTAGAATGTCTTCCGGCCGGGATCAAGGCGCGCAAGAGGCCGGGCCGCTGGAAGGGCTGGAGCCGCTACTGCTCGTCCTTGTCCTTGGCGCCGTGCTTCAGGATGCGCGTGAACTCGACGTAGTCGAACATGCCGCCCTTGATCGGCGCCTCCTTGTACATCTCGTCCACCTGCCAGGCCGGCGAGTCGGAGACGAAGGTCACGGCAGGGATTACCATTCAGCATCACCGCGGGTGAGTATGGCCGTAACGAAACAGCAAGGTTATCACGACAGCCAGGCCTTTGTGAAGCGTGCCATTGGACATGTTGGTAACAATACCATCTGGTAGCAGAGAGCTATACAAACTCAGACAGTGTGCATACAATCAGTTACATATGATAAGTCAAACAATAGTTCGCCAGCCAAAAGCAGATACCCTGATGAAACAGCCAGCCGAACAAACGATTACATTCACCCGGCTGAGATCGCATTGCTTAATTTATCGAAAAGTGGCATCAGCTACAAGACCACAGACAAAATTATATATATATATATATATATATATATATATATATATATATATATATATATATATATACACATATATTCAAAGGATCAGTGGCCGCACAATAGGTAGATGATGAGATTTTGCTCAACAAAGGCACACAAAACCCTATTTGATCTTACGTGGCACAGTGGCCAGCATCACTGTGAAGTGGCTGGCACAGTACCTTGGCGACGGCGTCCACTCACGTCGTCGTCGGTGAAGCGGTCACCCATGCTGGTTAGCAGCTCGCGCAGCCGGTCCTCCGAGATGACGCCGGCGTTGTCCTCGTCGAAGCAGCCGAAGGCGTTCTTGATGACTTCCTCGGGGTCGGTGCCCTGCAGCCGCTCTCCAAATAGCGTGAGGAACATGGTGAAGTTGATGGGGCCGGGCGCCTCTCCCATCATGCCCTCCAGGTAGTCGTCGGTCGGGTCCTTGCCTGCCGGCGGAGGGGCATGAACACGTGACGGCGGCCGCTGAGCAGGCAGGTATGAGCGGGCCATTCTGGTCTGGGTCTGGGTCTGGTATTGAAACAATGAGCACTGCATGGCATGAATCTAATGATTATGAGCCCTGCAAAGTATGGAGCTGATGGTGATGAGCACTGCACAACACAGATCTAATGATGATGTGCAATGCACAGAACAGATCTGCTCAAGATGAACAATGCACAGTATGGATCTGATGATGGCAAGCATTGCAGAGTACAGATGTGATGATGAAACGCATTACAGGGTACATATCTGATGACGATGAGCACCACACAATGTGGATCTGATGATATGAGAACTGCAAAGTATGGATCTGATGATGATGAACACTGAGCAGCTAAGCTGTTTTGATGCATTATAAACAACAGATGATTCACTGGCTGACCAGGACATGTTTAGCGTTGGATCAATAACTGCCAAACCTGGGAGATGGTTGAATGCTAAATCAGGCTGATGCCACAGAAACCTAATGTTTTCACATTTTGAAAAGATGCGCATTTACAGTACCATCCCTCAGGGATGAATGAAACATCACCCCACCCACATGAGGGTTGCCAACTGCCCAACGCTCATACACCAGTGAAGCCAACCATATCATGAAG